ATTGAGCCAGCCAGGTGCCCCAAAAATGAAATTTTAAAAAAACGTTTTAGAGATGTGATCTCTACTCTTTTTTGCTGATAAAAGTTAAAAAACAAAAACAAAAACAAACAAAAAAACAAGAAACAACTCTTAAATAGTGGTCATGTCCATCCACTGATTCCTATCAATGTGATCCCTTTGTCCAAGTCTCCAGTCTTGACATTCTAACTGCCTCTTAACAGCTCTCTGCACTTAGTCTCTTCCCTCCAAACTGTCTCCCACCCTTCCACCACTTATCTTTCCATTAGTTCCTCCATAAACAAAACAAAACAAAACAAAACTCTGAAGAGCACAACTGTAAGACGTATAAAACCTGACTTTTAAAATGTCTTGCTTCAAAATTTTAAAGCCCAGAGTTCTTAACCTGACATTCAAGGTTGATCGAAATCTGGCCCCACTTTACTTCTCCATCATTTTACCACTGAAACGTTTACATGGGTCACGCCAGTCTTTCAATGCTCCCAGCAAATTCTATACCTTTGCATCGTGATGAGCTCATGCTACTGCCTAACATACAATGCTTTCCCAGTTTTTCTCTGCCTATGCAGATTTCTCCCAATTTTCAAAGCCAGGCACAAGTTCTACCTCTTCCCTGAAACTTTTCCCTGATACACCGGGTACCTGTGCTCTCATATTGTTCTATCTTCCCTTCCCCTTCCAAACTCGTTGTGGCACTTCAAGTTTATTCTGTTCTACAAATCATCAAAAATCATCTATTTTGATTCTACAAATCATCAAAACTTTCTTTGGATTGCTTAAAATAACAATAGGTGTGCTGCTATACATGATATGCATTCAATAGAGTACATTCACACCACAGACTACCATTTAACAATACAAAGGAATAAACCGTTGATAACACGCAACGACTTGGATCTCAATCCTTTGAGCCAATCTCAAAAAGTCACACACTATATGACTGAAGTTATAGGACATTCTCAAATGACAACATTACAGAAATGGAAAAGAGCTTACGGGCTGCCTGAGGTTAGGGATGATTTGAGGTAGATGGCGGGTGTGACTTTTATAAAAGGGTACATAGCTCAAGGGAGAGCTTTGCGGTGATGAAATAGACCTCCATTCTGTGGTGGTGGTTACACAAATATACATATGTAATAAACTGAAGCAGAACTATACACTCATATTGTACCAATGTCAAATTTCTGGTTTTGATATTGTACTATAATTGAGATATTGTACTATAATTAAGATATAACCACTGGGTGAAATGGGTGAAAGATACACAGGAGTTCTCTGTACTATGTTTGCAGCTTCTTGTATCTATAATTATTTCAAAATGAAAAGTAAAAACGAACACTATCCAACTGCATGTTTATTTACTAAATATGTATATTTTCTAACTTTATTCAAGTTAAGCACAATCTATAATTACTGAGATAAAGTAAATTTCCCAAACCTGTTTGTTACAACCTAAAAACATCTTAGAGCTAAGTGGCTCTTAAAACCTACAAGCATAAACAGCAATTGTCTCTGGATATGGGGATTGGGAGGTGGCAGATGAGGAATGGGAGGGAAGCTACATTTTCAACCATCTACTTTTTGTACTAGACAAATTTTCACCATGTCCACGCATTATTTTTAAAAATTGTTTTTATCAAATACAAGTAAATTCTTATAAAATAGAAGAACTAATTCTCCTTAAGCATTCAGTTTAAGAAAAAGAACATTACCATTAGCTTCCAATCTCTTAAATACCCTTCTCCATCTTCATTACATTCTTTCTCCCTGAGAGATGACTGATACCTTCAAACTTTGTGTTTATTATTCCCTTGCTGTTCTTTATAGTTTTACTATGTTTGTATCTTTAAAGAATATATTCTTTAATTTTACATGGTTTTGAACTTAATATAAATGGAGTATTACTGTATGTATCTTACTGTGACTTGTTCTTTTCCCCCACTCAATGCTATGGTGCTGAATTCATCCATGGCATTGTACGTAATGAATTCATTCATATCTACTGCTGTAGAGGATGCCACATGAACATGCCACAATTATCAAAAAGATCGGTATCCAATGTGTTTAAATAGAAGGTAAGAATACTGGTAGTAAAAAAAAAAAAATTCGGCACATTTGAGATTATATATACATTATATACAGACATACACAAACATACACAAACAGTATGTACTCTATTTGACGTAAATAGTTCTGTTGGGTGGTGTTCTTGGCCTTAAAATGGCTCTCATTGGCACAGTATCTCATAATGTCTCAACACCAAACTTCTTTGCTTGGATATAAGGCTGGGATTGCTTTTTATATATAATGATGATACCAATGCATGTGCCCATAAGAAGTATAAAAGTGTTTTGGTTATTCCACATTTTTGTCATGCAAGTATTACTTTTTCAATTAACACACACGTATTTTATAGTATTCTTTTATTCTAAACATTATAAAACAAATGGAAATTAGTGGAAATCTAAAAAACGTACAATCCTTTTCCTCATAGCACAATATTTGTTATTTCTAGAGCACCCAACCACACCTAGTAAGATACAGTGACAATACTATTTAACAAAAATAATAAGCAACAGAAAAGCAAGAAAATTTACATAAAATAGAAAAATGAGTGAAAAGTATACACAATTTGTAGAAATAGAATTCTCAGAAAACACAGCTTACCTTTAATGTTGAAATCCCAACCTTTCCTGGAGACCTGTATAGAAATAAAAGGAAGGAGGTATTGAATAGTGGAGGCAAGAAGGGAAATACATCTACACACTTATTAAAGACAAGCCCACATTTTAAAACACTTATATACTTTGTGATTGAAAAGTCTTCTGTGCACATAGCAAATGTAGAAAACATAAAAAAGAGAGAAGAAAATTAAAGTGACCTATAATCCTACGATCTAGGGATTTGAGTATGTACCTTTTGTCTTCCCATATACATATGATGTATAATACTATAATAAACATCCTTGTAAATAAAATTGGGGCACCTGGGTGGCTCAGTCGGTTAAGCATCTCTTGGTTTTGGCTCAGGTAATGATCTCGTGGTTCGTGAGTTCGAGCCCTACATCCAGCTCTGCACAGAGCGCACTTTTGGGATTCTCTCCCTCCCTCCTTCTCTTTCAAAATAAATAAATAAACTTTATTATTATTTTTTTTTAAATTTTTTTTTCAACGTTTATTTAT